GGGACACGTGCCTCGCCCCTGAACCCCCCCCCCCGTCCTCCCGCGCAGCCCGGTTATCTTGAAACAATCGATACGCGAGTGGGGTGTGCTCGCCCCTCGGATTTTCGAATCGCGGCCCTCGCAGTTTCGAGCGCAACCACGCCAGGGGTCCACGTGGTGATGGTGTTGCCGTCGCGAAAATCAGCCTTTAATTAAGAGAGCGAATCCTTATTGTCATCTGGATCGCGCACGAGGATTGTCGAGGAGGCGCGGCGCTCTCTCGCTTTTCCCTCGCTCGCGTTTCTAATTACGCGGAAATCGCCCGTAGGATCAGTAGACATTCCGGCCGCATTCTGACCGTTTCTCACCCTTCCGTGCACCCCGCGATCCCTTTTCTATTCTCTCTCTCTCTCTCTCTCTCTCTCTCTCTATCAAGATCATTATTGCCGTCTCGGTACGTCGTTCGCCGCGCTTACGTTCACCGGCCGACGGAGAAAAACGGCGAGGATTGATCGCAAGGAGGCGATGGAGAAGACGGTGGATGGGAGGAAGGGGGAGGGAAGGAAAGGTAAGAGCGATCGCGCGAGCGGATTAGTGGTTTATCGAAGGGCGATCTTCCGATGAGCGAGCGCGGAAGGAGAGAGAGAGAGAGACGGAGGGCTGATGGACCAGATCGAAGGACGCGAGTTGCATTTCAATGGGGCCAGCGCGTGCACGTAGAAGCGTTTCGTGGATTCCACGGGGGTAAAAACCCTCGCCGCGGCGACGGCCTCAAAGGCGGCCGGTGTTTTCGCCAACGGGCCAGTCCGTGGAATGCCGGCCGCATCGCGCGGCCGATTTCTCGGCCCCGATCGGGAGGCCGCTCGTTCACGGTAAACGTCGATCTAGGATCCTGCTTAGGCGCCGAAGCGGGTGTCGGCTCTCTTAAATCGAATCCGAATGGGAATCTGTCACCGGTTGAATCGGTGAGACATCGTTTAATCGGGTAATCAGTGAGTATGTGTGTGTGTTCGCTAATTTTATTATTTTTATACAAACGCATTGAAACGTCGCAAATTCGTACCGCGTACAAACGATCTAAGGGGATGCCGGAGCGGATTCCCGAAAGCGCCCTCGTTATGAGCGGAACTGAAAATTACGGTCGGTAAATTACGGATATTTTAAACGGAAGCAAGCATATTCAAGTGAACACGCGAGAGGATATAGAAATGTATAAAGTGCGACAGAATGAGTGAATAATACAAAGAGTGAGGGAAAGAATTTCTGCTATCTTTTCTATCTTCTTTCATTGTTTCTGCAGTTGGATCCCTCCGATGGAAACAGTTGTTGCTATTAACGCAGACTTCTGCGACGAAACTTGATTGATTTTCAATGCTCTACTTATAATTACGATCACTAGTGACTCATCTTCTTTACCGCTTCTCAGAGGAGACAGCCGAATAATTAGACCAGATATTTGGCGGTGTGAAAACCCATGTTTGCATTAGCAAACGTCCGGTCTAATAGTTCAGCCATTTCCAGACCGAAGTGAAGAATATATTGCGATGCAGGTAACAGCAGCGAGTTCACGCACGAGTAAGTTGATCTGGCAAATAATGTCGCGGCTCGCGACACGGAGGATAGAGTCCTGACGAAACACGGACTCCGGTCGCATTTACAAGACAATCCTGAGCCCGGCGACTCGACGTTGCGAAAATATCGCGCGTGTTCCCGGGGAAGTACGGTAACGACGACTCGGCAGCGGGAGCCGGGCCGCCATTGACAACGCGAAGGCGAACCATGTGGTCAACGCGCGTTAAACGTCCGCCGTGTAAACATGCTCCACCGGAATATATAGACATTCCGCGGTTATTTCGAATACGTTCCGCCGGCCGTTTTTACGCCGGTGTGTAAATCACGCCCCACGTGTTCGACTTGGCGCGTTCACGCGCGTCGAGAACGGTCGCTTCGATCTACCGTGATGAGACGCGGTTCGTCCGATCGTCCTAGACTACTGCCAAAGTGCCACTCCACATTCGAGAGAGATCGGGATTCATTTCACTTCAGGCTGGTGTGTCCGGTCAAGGCAAATGTATACACACAATGTTACAAATACGGAGATATTATTTATTTCTTATTTTTCTTACTAATAGATGCTTCATTTATACTAAATATGTATATATACGTACGTGTCTCACGAGCGTTACTATACGAGGTCTGTTCAAAAAGTATCGCGAATTTTGAATTTCCGCGGGTTACGTATATTCGATTTTCGATTTTTTTGTGGCGTTATGTTGGTACTCATGTATGCTATTTTGCTTGGACGTGTTTTGGCTCGTCTTCGATTTTTGCCTATTCCAAAAAATGGATCAAAGAATCTGTATCAAATTTTGTGTGAAAAACAAAATTAAGTGCGCGGACGCATTCCGAATGTTGACTGTGGCAAATGGTGAAGCTACCTTGGACCGAAGCAACGTTTATCGGTGGTACAAAATGTTCTCAGAATGGCTAACCTCAAGGAATACATATGGAAAGTGTCATCTTCAGTTGCGAATATCTCAGCTTCGAACTAGCCAATCGTTTTCCAATTTTATAGACAGTATTTCCCACTTTTCAATACGCAGCTAAAAATTCAAAGGATTCCTAAGGAAATATTCGGACGGACCGGCTGCCTCAAGACGGTCTTGAATGCAAGATCAGACTGTGAATGCCGGCCTGAAATTCGCGCCGCGTCGAGATACGCGTCTCACGTTACCGGGTGTCGCGATACCGAATACCGGCGGCGGCCCCCGCCGCTCTCGTGTGACGAATGACGAAGCGGCTAAGAAGTTAATTTATGGAAAACGCATTCTGCAACGTGTCGCGCAACGGATCGAGGAATCCGAAGGAGGAGACGGACGGACCGGCGGCAGTCCACGTGTCGTCCGTCGCTTGGAAACCGTGACGATATTAGGCTGTCCGCCGACGGTCAGCTGCCTGACGTTTGTACGTTTGTGTTGTCGCGCACATATCGCCGAGAGACGAGTGACGGTAATCTATGCGGGCGAGTATTCGCGGACACCTGTAACGTCCACGTTGACGCTACCCTCTCCGTTTCACTCCGCTTCTTTTCCTCTCTCCGTTCGCGGAGATTTCTCTCTCTCTCTCTCTCTCTCTCT